AATTATCCTGTGGTAGGTAATAGTCGCGTAAACTAAGCAGTTAACGTCTGCTTAGAGATCTTATGATCGAATTCCGCTACTCCCATCTGTCCTCCTCCCGCGTTATCTGTATTTCCACAGACAACATTTCATTTTCCCCACCCTTCTTTCTAGAAGTCAACTGTGTGTAGCATTAGCCTACAGATTTGGTAACATGCTTGTTAATTTTAGAGTAAAAAGCTTGGATTAGTCCACTGGATTGTTAAGAGACAGCAGGAACTCTTGATGGTGATGACCGTCGATCGTGTAACTCAGGGGTAAGGGTATGAAGTCCCAACCCGAAAGTTCGCGGTTCGAGTCCTAACAGGGACACAAAATGTACGCACTGCTGATGAGTCCCAAAGAGGACGAAACAGGTGTCCAGTGCTCTTTGTCGGTTATCACAAACAATCTCATCGCATGCTTGTTAATGTTTTAGCCATGTCACATCTCCATTCTAATGTTGTTTATCAAGGAGCTAAGAATAACTCACTGAAGCCAATGGTTAGTTCCCCGTTGTTTACTTACACTCAACGGTGATCCATTGGTTAAGGTCGCCATCACACTGACTTGAAGGTTGAGTATTCGATTCCTACCACCGTTGCCGAATTTTTCCCTTTCCGTTTGTATGTTCAGGCAGCACCTGAACGGTTGCAACCCACTCTGTTCGTGAACGATTATTTCTGTAGTTATACAATCATTAAAAAGTCAAAGATAAATAATGATATTATTCGATGCGATCCGTTCAGGTTAATGCCCGGAAATATCGTCACAGACAGGTGTGTGGGTATAGGAAATTATCGGCTATTTTTTCTGTATCTTTTTTCCGAATAATTCAACAAATTTATAGTTCCTTTGATCATGAATTTGCATCATACCAAGAGTTCACTGAAATGATCCTTCGTGTTCCGCTTGTTTGCTTTTATTTATATTTTTTATGAATAAATAGCTTCAGTACGGTACTTGTGGTCACGTGCGTGACGCGGATCTGCTCTCCTTATTGGAGTGTTCTTTGGAACACCTCATCGAGCAGGCGACATTCGTGACTAGCACAACGGAGACGCATGCAAAGCTGATTACAGCTCCGGAAGAATCTGCTCCCAGCCAACCCGTAGACAAGTTATCTTCAAGCATTCAGCCACGTCTGGGCTACAGAGCTTCCGTCGTGTTGCTGGAAAGTGCTCTATGGTTGACCACAAATCAAACGGAAATTGATCAGTGGGCGGAATCAAGCCGGGGTCAAAGAAACCAGTCGAACACAGTTGATGTACAACTAAAAAGTTTAGCCAATTCGGCATTTAATTTACTTGCCAAGTGAGTGTCAAATATCCGTGGTTTGTATAGTTCCACCCCGTGACGACTGTTCTGTTGATTGTCACAATTTTGCGCGCTATTCCATCGATTCTCTCTTGTTCACCACTGAACACAGAATTCCTCACATATTTCAATACAATTGGCAAACAGTTCTCCGATCATTTTGCAGGTTCACTCCATGATGGTTTTACTGCTTGAGTCAGTTACGTCAGTGTGAGCTGATTTATCCAGAGCTAAAGTTGTTTTCGCATCCAGTAACAAGGTCGACAGTCAGTACATTGATCGAATGGTTAAATCAATTTAGAATGCTCTGTTTGGGTTAGACCGTTCGATTTGTACAGGCACTAGGCACTGTGTTTGGTCTTGGATGTGAGTTTCGCTCTTTACCGTAGTTCATGTACCCATACTTACTGGTGTAAGTTATTTTACCTGCACACCATGTCGATGTCAGTTCCAACTACACCCTGCCTCGGAAACTATCGTTCACCGGGTTAAAGTATACGGCTTTTCCAGATAAACTCTTCTCAGAACCAATTCCTGAGATACGTATTCAAATATTCCGTTGTTATCGCATCCGTTGTCCAGATGTAAGAATGACTTGCCAGATTGTTATTGGATACGTTTCGCTTATGAGCATCAAGAACCGTAAGGCCAATCATGTTCTGTACTTGATACTTCTTTGATAACTTGTTTTACTTTTTTTCTTTTTTGTGATTGGCTTCAGATTTTGGGATTTGTTGGCTAATGAATACTCAGCCTATTCAGCAATCCCATCTCCGACACCAACAACAACGACACCCAAAGCAATGCAAACTCAAAAAGACCAACTGGTGCTAATAAACAAGTCACCTATTCGATTCTGTATTCTTCCTGAGGAAATAGATGGAGAGGTGGAGACGCTATCGACAGATGAACCACCTTGTGTAGAATGTCTTCCGTCAGTCGGAGAAGCATGTCTCGCAGTATGTGCTTGTCTGGAATGGATTGCGGTCCGCGTGGAGGCCACCGCACCCGAATCTGCGGAGATCGCGGAACTCCTGGCACCCCGGTTTATCACGGTAATCTTCGAACACTTGACTTGGTGAGTTCGGAACATATGGTCTACATGGAGGTAAACTTTCTGTTCGATCTTAACAATGTGCGGTAAGCAGGTGTGAACCCCTAGTATAGCTTATATCAATTGATGCAGTAACGTTTGTATTTGGTCAACGTTCATTTTTCAACTACTCCAAGATCCCAACAGTCCCTCGTTCCCCTCCGTGAAAACAGTGTGTTCTTTTCTGCCGAAGGGCAATTCCAGATATTTTATGTTTTCCAAAATCACGAGTTTAGGCCGATTTCGATTTGAATAGTAGTGCATAGTCTTGATGTTGAGGTATTGCAAACTAATACAGGACACTGTAGAAATTGAGTGCAGTGAATGACTTGCAGAATGCAACAGCAATGGACCACAATATCTCAATTATTTTCAATTTGTGCTGTATTCTCTTTCAGTATTGAACAATCAATTCCAGTTTCTGCATTACCTGATGCGTTACGCGCGTATTATGAAACTTCTCAAGGTTGGCTGGATCAACTTCCAGATAATTTGCTACTGGCTCTGTACACCGGTCGTTCAGCCGCTCCACCTAGTTTAGCTTGGCTTCATTGGTGCCACGAGTTACTGTCCTCCCGTCAAAGTCCCAAGAATGATACGGGTACATATTGCCGCCAGCGAAAGGATCTCCTAGCCCTACTGCGCCAACTGGTTTGGAGGACGGCGTGTGTTTTGACCTCAGTCACATCCCTGGTGCGAGAAAAAGCGGCATTGATTGTACTGAATCAATCAGTGTCCACGGAATCCACCCACTCGGACAATTCACTCGCTTCCTCTTCCACGGCTGGTTCGCCATCCACCCCGGTACGACCATTCGGTTCGGAAGAGGAGTTCGTTCAACTGCCTCCGTGCACTGGTGATGATGATACTGTGGCCTGTGTGGAAGACCTTATTCGGTCCAGTTTTCAGCCTTGGCCGGCGGATTGTGTATCACTGAATCATATATTAGCTCAGGCAATCCTTTGCCTTGTGCCATGCTCTCTGTTTCGTCAATTGGATGCATCTGCTGTCCGCTCCGGTGGATCACACCGTTGGAACTTGCATACCTCTGTTACGAACATACTTAGCAACCGTCCAGACGCTCCGGGATCCGAGAATGAAGGTGGTCCACCATCCGCTGGTGCGCTATATTCTGAGGAATATGGCCCGGCTGACTCAGACGACAGTGTTTGTATCACTCCATTGTGGATTCAACAAGTCAACAAATTGCTCACTGATCGGCATTGGTGCTCCCACACTGCCCCCGCTTGTTTCGCTCACTCTGTATGGTGGTCTTCACAAGTGAATTCGATACCGAAAGAAGTTCAGGTACGTCTTGTTTTCCACAGCGTTTGATCGACTAGTTTCATCATTTTCTGCGCAACACTGTACCCTGTTTATCTTCCTCAAACTCGTGTGGTTGGCTAGTTGACGGGGATTCTTTCTGATGCGCTCGGATGATGGATTTTACATCGTAGCATTATCCACGTTCGGCTGAATAACTTGCTCAAATTTGCTTCCTGGATCACACTCTATTATCGCATTTATTTCCAGCTTCTCGATTGGAATTGTATGCAGACCGTGTTTGAATTCTGCTATCCAACTCGCATCCCGGAATACGATAGTATCAAAACACTATCCATATCGAACGAGGTATGTATGTATGATTGTCTTGCGTTCATTTTCATGTAGTTTTATTACTGTCGTGTTCGCTGTTCTCAGTTTTGACCGTTTGATTGAGACTAGTAAATTGTCTTTTTTTCTCTGACGTGGTTACAAATCTGGTACCCCCCCCCCCCGAATTCCCCAATCNTCCCCAATCGCTATTCGGATCTGAAAATTCATTGCTAACTGTATTGCCGTGATCTTAGTCACAATCTACCTCGCACTGGTCCATATAGGGTCCCTGGATCGTATCGTGCAAGCCTGGATAGCTCACTTTAGCGTCGTGTAATTCTGCTTGCGTCGTTGGAATCATTGCTCTATTAACCCATTCGTTTCGACACTGAACTACACAAAATTCTGTACTGACCGCAACATAATCAACTTCATTTTGCTGGTTGCGATTATTTTTCCTTGTTCATCACTTGGAATTAATTGATTCGTTTTGTTCGATTCAATGCTAATTTATTGCTGGTGATTGCTGAGTTCTCCCCCGCGTTCTGTTGATTCGATGCACTGATTTGACAATCGCACATTATGGTGCCGGAAGGGGTGGGTGGGTTAGCGCAGTGTGGCAACCACCGGGTGATAACGGGAGACTGAACAATCACCTTGAGCTGTCGAATGAAATGTTTCGTGTGTCGAAACTAACGAGCCCAGAAACGCCTTGGATGCATCAATTTTTTGTCGGGTATGATTGCAGTCATCACTATTGTACAACGAAATGCAATAATGCGAACGTCATTGCTCGTTGTCAAGTTCACAGTGTGTAAACGCACGAATGTGACGTGACCGGGGAAGTGAACGAGGGAAAATGTAAGACTCTATGGTCAACAAACCGGTGCAACTATTCTTACCTGACAAATAAATGAAAGTTAGTAGGTCACTCCTTTTGGTTTGCTGTCTTGTCCTTCCCATCAATCAGTTACATCAACTCTACCTAACCGCCTTCTGTATCTATTCTCACCTCATCCGCACGTCGTCTGTAGACCTCCATGGCTTGTGAGGTACTACTCAAATGTTATGGGAATATGAGCTAGTGATTGTTGGATTTCTATATTATTCAAAACTGAACAGGACATCCTGGAACAAACGAGTGGTTTTAATATTGTAACAGTAGAACATACCGATCTGCTCGGTCACAGATCTAGAACCTTTCAAGAAACCGTGACTGGGTTGTTTCGGATTATCTGTTTCGTTCAAGGTAACCCGATTTACCCACTACCCTGTCATTATTCCAGTGACCGACTTCGAGGTCTGGCATGGACCTCTTGGTTTCCATACACCTGGGGATCGAACAGCTAATAAGACGCGGTGGGGGCAACGAAAACTTTTCATGCGAAATATCCAGTGAGGCCTAATACTCTGAATTCCAGGTGATAACGAATTTTCCATCGCTCCAGTTCCTACGGGCCCTAAGTGTGAATGATAATACTTTTTCTTTCTCTCTCCGTGCATCACTCGTCAGACTTTGAGGCTGTGTTGTCAAGGCGTTCGTTCCACATTTCAATCGAAACAGAACCAGCAACTAAAATTCGATAACTATACGGATAAGAGTGGTTGCTTACTGCACCAATCATTTTTCTTTTGTCTCCTTTATTCACATATCAACTATCATTGATCAACCGACTGTCATAAAACAGCTGTACTCATTCGTGCTCTGTAGTGAACTGTCAGGTCATTTCCTCTTTGCTGTCGCACCGGTCAACTTCAATTTTTGTTCTGCTTGTAGTTGCTAAGTCTGCTGCAAGCTGCGGTCGAGCTTATACCACCTGCGGAAGACGCTCGCATGTTGAGTGCTGCGCAAGTCGAACAAATGATGCAGTCCAAAGCGAAAACGGCAGCCGAGTTGCCAGAGGAACCGTTGGGTCTCAGGTAATTCCCCAGGCGGCGGTGAATCATGTTGTTTTAACCTAAACAAACCAACGGCAGTTTTCCTATTTGGATTGTTTGCCACCCGGATGAAGCTCATATACATGCCGACTTGAGTTGACTGATCTGACAACCTTGTGTGTGTCAATCAGTTTTAAGTCCCTTCGTCCGTGTTTATCGCGTTTCTTCCCAGTGGCCGCAACACGATGCGGACAGTCGGTCATATTTTCGCCGACCTTATGGTTTCTCAATCAAGCACTTCGGATTGTTGTTATTGTCGTTAATTTAATCAGGTGATAAGGGTTGTTTATTATGCCATACTTCTTGCTCAATAAATGTACATTCTCGTCAGAAATCCGATTCTTTGCGGCCTGCATGTTTCGATCACTGTCATTGGTTTTACGAAAAACGAAGCCAAGTTTGCAAAATGCTGTTAGAAAAGATGAGTAAGAACACCTATATTTAGCAGTTGTGAAATCGTAAGTGGTATTGTAAGTTCGGAAACCACACACCGACTTGATTTTTTTCTCATTATAGATCTAGAATCCCAAGTCATCCAGAAAGTCGCACGTCGTAAACAACTGTTACGAGCAGCGATCTGCGCCCCTTCCCAGTATTTTTCCACTGAACTCCGTTTCAGAAGACTTGCGCATGATTCGCTGCCTGCATTAGGACCTGATCGGTCGACCAAATTCGTCCACTAAGATTTTAGCTAAGCGGTAATCGACTGGCGTTAAGTAGTGATTACTGAGCTTCCGTCAATCCTGTTGGTCGTGATTTGTTGCCATTTCCAGGGATTCGGTTTAGTTGTTAGCAGGCAATTGTCAATTGAGAAGCTGGACGTTTCCGAAAAAGAAACGTGGCGAAACGTGGTCTGAAACAGATACACTGGAAAAATATTTCGAGGTTTCGCGAAAAACACGGGAATAAGCTCCTTTCGTGAACGAATGCTCGATATATCTCAAGTGTATAACCTTTGAGGGTACGCCCTAGTCTTCGCTTGACTCTTTGAAATCTTTGACTCAATATTGCATGTCAGAGACAGAGTGAAGTCCACTTTTCACAGGTGTCTTCCTGGCCAGGCCGGAAAATAACGTCCTCAAACGAAGAGTCGTTCGTTTCGCATTCTGCAAGCGATATGGAATTAAGATTTTGGGCTTTGTTGATGACAGTGTGAATCTGTCAAGATTCTGCAATTTCCCTAACTTTATACATCAAACCATAAAGCGCATGAGCGGATCGCATTTCTGGTCGGTTTACCAAGCTGTCGACGAAACTATCCAGCGCAACATCTACGGGAAGCCATCGTGGAATAATCAGTATATCTATTTCGGATTGAAGATCCACACTATTGAGTGCACAAAGCTTAACATGACTTGTGGGCTGATTACTGCCGGGTTGCCCAGGCCAAGGCAGGTGAATTTGTTTGAGGAATCCACTACCGGAGCCTTCGGCTAGCCAAAACAGCGGAGTGGTGTGTGAAACCCGCAATCTATTGGGACCGGTGTCCAGTTCATCGGATCATACGCCCTTTGGACGGGGTCAAACGTCCAAGGTATCTAATACACCTTGATGCCCAATGGAGCCGGTGACCACAACCAAAGTGTGTGTGGTTCGTACGCCTCCTTTTGGTTGGTTTGGAATCAATGTTTTGGACCAACGCTACTAGGTGAATTACCAGTGGTTCACTAACCCGGTTACAGCCGCAGATGTCGGTTATTCGTCCTCGCACTGTGGGAAAACACTACCAAGAGAAGGCAGTAAGTAGGGCTTCCTCAGCAGAAGCTATTTGATACGCTTGGCCGTATGACAGCATTTTGCGAGATGCAAGTTAAGTGTGTCTAACCGTAATCCTAGATACTCACCCCCGACCATACTGAGGCTTTTGGAGGCGGTGTATTAGCTTGAAGATTAATCACCACAAACGAGCTTGTTTCCTTGTTTTTCTTACAGTATATTTGAACTATGAATTTGTTTGGTGAGGGGGGGGGGGGGGCAGATGCACGCGCTTCACTGATTTTGTACAGCTATTTACGACTTTTTCTTGCAGAAAAATCGGACGTCATAGCTCATCGCTCATTACCGCTTAGTCAGTGAAGCCTTACCCACTTATTTATAGTTAACCATCTAAATGGTTTTTCTCTCATCCACAACCTGGGCAGACAGCTCAGGGATACGGTGTATCTTAGGCCTCTGGAACGCGCAATATAGTGGGGCGATCTTGTTTAATACGTTACCCTTTTTCAGGAATTTTTTACCGGTTTCCATCAATGATCTGTGCATCCTCGAATTGAGTGTTTTTTTTTTCATCCGTTCTACGATGGGTAATGGAAATTTGTGTCCTCCCACTAATTTTTGTTTGAATACTAATATCTTTTTCTGTTTTGCTGTATATTCACCATTTCAGCCCGCTGACACGAATCGCTTTTTATTTGATTGCGGATCACTATATGAAGAATAACCACTTCGAGTAAGTCGCGTATCGATTCTCACAATTCTTTGCACAATACTACACTTTGTGCTCACTCAACTATCACATTTCGTGTTTGTTTCTTCCTCTTCGCCGCCCACCCCAACTTCGCGTTCCACCCGCACGCACACATCACATTCAATCACCGTCAGACTGGCGATAAAGTACTATCTGGAAGACTTGCGTGCCTGTCCCCGTCGAAGTAGTACTTGGGCCGCGTTAGGTCTGATTTACTATAGCGATTTGGAGCAGATTATTAACTTGGTGAGTTACCCCGCCCCCGTTTTGTAATCCATGTCCCGCTTTTTCTCCGCGAATCCATGCTCAAGATCTCTGCGTTCTACCTTTCGTTTAGACCAATTTGAAGACCGAGCGTGTTTCTCCGGATGCGGTAACTCGTTGTTTGCGTTGCTTTTCCGTGGCGATCAGCCTAATTCCGTGGTCAGTCACCTTGTTGATTGAACGCGGTTGTCTCGCGTATCAGCTCCATGCATACGCAGCTCGAGTATTGAAGAAGGTAATTTGATTGGGTGTATTTTTGTAACTGCTCACTTGCTGCGCTTTCCAGTCAGAATCTCAAACGGGCCAGGTAGAATTCTTAGTTTCACTTCTATAGACAACCAGTAGTCAAAATTTTCCAATTATTAGTGCGGATTTCTTCATACCTTGAACCCAGCTCTGCTGCACAAGCAGATGTGCACGGTCTCCATCTCATACGTGCACGTGCGTGTAGATATCTGCTCTGACTACAACAAAGGTATCAATGAGATGTTCTGGGGACAGCCTCCTGAGTGTCGTTAACACAGGCAATGAATACTGACTGTTACGGAACGGCACATTGCTTCCCATAGAGTCGGGGTCAGAAGTCACAGTAATTCATTTGTAATCGAGTGTTGCGGTAGTACACATAAGTAAACACGCACGAACGCACTTTCAGATCAACTCAATGACCTTTGGGATCATGTGATGCCATGTCCTCTCCCCCTCAAGTAATATTATCCAATGCCAGACACAAGTTGCCCGATTGATCGTTCGGCTACTGTTACATGGGCTGGTCTGGTTGACTGGAGCACGAGGTAAGCCTTTGTAGCTGAGCGAATAGGCTTGGGTTGATTGGACTACGTCAGTCCGCAACGAGTATTTTGACAAACTCTATTAGGACAAATATCTCCACAACAAGTTCGTTTTGGAGGGGTCTAGCCGTTTTTCGCCAGGTCCTTTTTACCTTCGTTGGTTTACCGGTTTAGTCCTATGGACCGAAGTGTGCGAACAGCACGGCAATTGACCTCGATAAGTCCGACAAGAAATGGGAGATACAGTAAGATGATTCGGTAAACCAAACGTAAACATGAGGACATGGACCGTTGTGTGTGTGTGTTCGAGCCTAGGCCCCGAATGAGTTGATACGCCTAGTTTCACGCTGGCCTTGGTTGCTTCTGATTCAACCGCTCATTTTGTTCTTCATACAACTTTTTGAGCAAACCACGAAGAGCTCAACAGGTGCTCAAATTCAAAGAAAGCAAAAGGAACATTTGTATTGGATGGCAAAACTAATACCTACAAAATAGTAAAAATTGTCTTTTTGTACTGTAATCCCCAAATTCTCTGCTGATATCTGTTTACAAGACCTTTCCGGATCCATTGATATTAACGCATCTATTCTAATTAGTTGGCAACATTTTATAGCAGCTATGGTTGTATGTCACCGGGTCTGTTTCTTCAATGTACTTTATTTAAATGAGGCTTCGTAATAATGCTAATAATAATGATGAGGTTTGACAATCTTTTGTTTCCATTTATTGATTACGCAATCGCATAATTGGTTCTCGGCAGGAATGAATCAACTAATTTAATTACCGCTTTTTGAAACACCAAAAATACTGCCTATTCACCGGGACTTTCTTAGTAATTAATTCCTTTTGGATATGTTAAGCGCCCGTGCATCTCGGTTCATCATAAACGCAAATTTCACATCATTATTCTGATTACAGACCAATTTGTGTGTTTCTGTTCGCTACGCATTCCAGGCGTCCACTCGCAGCTTCCCGGACGTGCATTTGAACATCTGTCGGAAGTGGCGTTCCAGCATGTTACAACTGGCTCGTCACTGTTATGAACAAGTAATGGCTATGCAAGGGGCGAGCGCCATCTCAAAGGCATCGTCCAGTGCCGCGGTCGACACGCACGATGATACGGGAGTTAGTCAGTCGGTGGATCCGTCTATCCATCCGGAAGAGGGAGCAAAACAGGCAAAAGACGAGGAATGGTTGTGTCGCTATATGCTGGCTAAATGTTCTGAAAAGGAGGCGCACCTGGTCGTTCAGGACTGTGATAATGTAGTCGGCATCGCACCGTATTTGTTGTCAATTTTAGACCAGTATCATCAAGCACTCCAAGCTCTTGATGCAGCCGGAGCAAAGTATCCGAAAAAAGTGATTGTTTATCACAAATTACCGTTTCGTGCAGTGGAGGCTATCGAGGTTAGTGTCTGATTTGTACCCGCATGATTTAAGTGGAAGGCTCCAAACACATTCAAAATTCTGTTGTTTTTATAACGAATTTAAGTTTCAAAATGTTCATTCAACTGGGAAAAATCTTGTAGGAGAGGGTTGTAGACGTTAATGAGAAACTCTGATTCGGCTGCTAGGACGCTTGAATCAGCGATAACTTCTGTCGTTTCTTTAGTTTGAAAGTGAAGATTTCTTGTTGGAATATATACTTGCATTTACGAAGGCAAATTACTCCTATGTTTCAGTAATTTCTTCCGTTTTTATTTTACTGTATTTTGTAAAGCTTTTGCAAACACTGAATCTTACATTTCAGTTGAAAAAAAAACTGTACACACCAACCGTCACAGAGAACATATTCATCGGGAAAAATGTTTACATACGTAGGGACATTTGATAGTCCAAGATTAAGATGAAGTCCATTTGTTACTCTCTCCTTCTTTATTTGTGATTAAACGTGCGAGGTAGGGTATAGATAAATTTCGGTAAGCGTTAATGCGAGATGAAATTTGGTGGAATTAAGAGCGTGTGTTGTCGTTCTCCTTGCAGTGGGTGGTCAGGATCTGTGAGAATCCTCTCCGCAAATTTGGTTCAGGTATCAGTATGGTACTCTGAAAGTTTCACAGACAACTAGAAAAAAAGCGGCTAATAATAGTTAAACCGCGGGGTAAGACTTTGAAATCCTGTTTAAGTAAGCCAGGGAAAACAGCAGGAGAACAATAAAGTAAGATGAAGGAAACACGCTGGCACACAAAGATAGAAATAACTGACTGAGGCCATTGCCCATTCACTCGGATTTTACGTCGTCGGGACGAGTTTCATACATTGGCTTTTCCGGGAACCAGTGTGTTCTGAAGCCATTTGGTATACCTTGAAATGTTTTCCGAATCGGAGTTTGCAATCGTTGCAAGATATGTAGCTAATCCCAAGGCCTCAGTATGGTTGGGGGTGGGTGTCTAGGGTTGCGGCTGGTCACCCTGCCCTTGCACCTCACGAAATGCCCCCATACGACCAAGCGTCTCAAATAGCCTCTGCTGAGGAAGCCCTACTCACTGTCTTCTCGCGGCGGAGGTGTTTTCCCACCAAAGCGAGAGGACGAAAAGCCGATATCCGGGGCTATAGCCGGGTTGGTGGACCACTGGCAGTTCACCTAGGGGAGTTGACCAAAAACCCTGATTCCAAACCAACCATGAGGAGACGTACGAACCAAACCCACACCTTTTCGGTTGTGGCAGTGGTCATCGGCTCCC